TCCTCACTATGCCTGAAATATTTAACCAAGGAATTAGAATTTTGGTGTCGTGAATGTATAAATACTAGTCTGTTCCAAATGTATACTATTGAAACATAAACATCACAACTATGTTTTGATCGATGAGATTAAAAATGAGCTAATAGAACAAGTCAGTATAAAATGCTATTGTTATTATTAATGAGTGGAAGTTTATTTTTGTGTTTAGGTGGAGAAAGACTTAGAAAAGCTTCATCTATCTTTGAACAATGATAATAGTGCAGCGCAACAAATGAAAATTGCATACGAGAATGACATTAAAGCAAAAAAAGATCAAATAACTGAAACTTTTAAAACTGCGTACGATGATCCATGAAAGAGAGATAACATTAAAACAACAAATTGTGGATATAGAAACAAAACATGACAGACAAATTGACAAATATCAAAATTAACTTCAAAAGCATTTGCAAAGGTTACGTGAGCAATGTGCCCTATTTGACCAGATTCTCGTGATGAAAAATTATACGAAGATATTACAAGTTCAACAAGGATTTGACGACTATTGGAATGAGACAGAAAATGAAATTAAAGATTTAAAGGGTTCTAGCAAAGCAGAGTACAGTATTGAAGGATTCAATCAATGGCAACTACCGCTTCATCGCCATGATCATTATGCCAAAACCCGAAACTTGAACAAATCATTGCACAGTACGAAACGAGCTTGGGTTACACTTTTTATAACGAACTACTAACTGATTGAGACATGATGATTATAGCAGATGCAGCACAGAAAAATGAGGTGAGCAAATATTTTTCAGCCTTGCTTTCTTCATCTGAAACTCTATGGGATTGAAAGTATTGAAGAGAAGATATGATCGATCATCATTGCATTTTGAAATAATAGATTTGATATACTTTGTGAAACTCACATGGGAAAATATAGCGTTAGTTGAAGGCTGAACGTTTGCATTTTTCTTCGATCATCCCTGGCAATACTGACAAACTGTACTAAAGAATCAGAAGTCAGAGGACACATATTTCTGGAAATTCATTTGATGGATTTCAACCTTATTATTTTCAATTCATTAATATCAACAATATATTGGAAGAGATTTTGAAGAAAATTTTGAACAAAAATTAGAACGCATAGTTCGAAAACGATGATAAATATACAAAAACGAGCTAACAGAGATGTTTCTTCAGCCAGGTTCGATCATGGAGGCGATTGTGTTATAATGAGTAACTTCATGAGGAATTGAACGAATGAGAAGGTAAACTATTCACAAGTTAATCGTATCAAAGTGACCATAACAAAAACTTTTTTCAGTTTTACGGAATTCTTCCAGAAGATAACTAAGCAGTTGACAAGACCACAAAAAGATGCCTAATGTACACTTTCTCACGGAGATTCATCGGTGGTAAAATTTGCCTTGGTAGAAAATAATAAATTTCCAAGAATACTGAGAAATATTCGAAATTTAGGGATGAATAATTTTTTATTACATACGATTTAATTAAAAGAAATTTGATCTGGTTAATAAAAAATTCTCAGCTTATCTTTCGTGTAGAAAATTATATTTTGCACCAATTATAATTTTTAAAAACTTTGGTCAAAATTTGTCGACATCAGAGAATGTGTATTGCCATGTTATTTCTCTCAACTAACTAGATTTCAGCAAGCATTTTTTCTCCGCCACAACATGAAGAAGACATGATGTTTTGAGACAATCAGGAGATGGACAATATTTCTGTGTTAAATGGCTCGGACAACACCATGTTTCATATGTACGAAGGAGAGAGGACTATCAGCCCTAAAATTTGGTTCAATGATCGCTGTTGATCTTTTCTTAATTATTATTAATCCGTAAGCAATGATTCTTAACATAATTTTAAGTCAAAAGAGAAATGATTCCATTCTATGGAAAATGTCAAAAAGTACTATAAAATCTCTGAAAACTTCCGGAAATTCCAGAGAGTCAAAAAACCTTGAAAATACTTGAGAATCTCTGGAAATCCATGAAAATATTAGAAATTCTCTGAAAATACCTAGAAAAGGTCAAAAATACAATTGGAAATACTCGTGTATAACGTCTCGTTGATACTTTACGAAATAATACGGTGATCTTCATTCTATTTTCATCATTCTCATACTCATCTGCTTCTCTCTATACACAGACACCTACCAAACTTGACTTTGACAGCAATTACATCAGAGCTACTGGGATCCAACATCTTTCTGTAGCCTTACAAAATAACACGGTGATCCTTATCCTAATTTCATTGATCTCATACCTATATTCTTCTTTTCACACAGCCACTCAGCAGACTGATCCTTTCCTACAATCAAATCGGAGATGTTGGGGCTCAATATCTTGCTGATGTCTCCCGAAATAATAAGATAATTCTTATTTTATTTTGATACGTCTCGTATTCATCTTCTGCTCTGCATATAGATATTCGAGAGTTTGTCCATCTTCTATCAAAATCGCATTTCTTTAACTGTTCAACAACCACTGTAACGGCAAGACAAAACAATAAACTGATTTGCTTTTTGATTATACTTTTTTTGCTTGCTAATAACTAGATGACTCAATAAAAAATCATACTTTAAAACTTTCATAGTAGGTAGTACAATAGAAGTTGCTCTAGGCTCACGTTGCCATAATATTTTCTTATGTTAGATATTTGGATATCAATCGACTATTCAAAGATACTGAACATCACGATGCATAACTAAAAACTTCTCTTATTAGAGTCAATTTTGTAAAGTCTACCGAAAATCTGCATAGATATATTTTTGAACGATAACATGTACTCATCTTAACCCTTCAAGTACCATTGCTCAACCAATGAACGAAATTTCTTTAAGATTTTATATTTAATATTGGCAGTGTAGCGATTATCATCAAACAATTTTTAAAAATTTTGAAATGCACCTTCGACCCAAGCTTGTACTCCTCCACAAAGATGGCGAAGAAGAATATTGGTCATCTCCGTAGGGGATTATGTGTGTGAGTCAAAATACGATTGAAAGGAATCACAAAATCAATCTTTTGAATATCGGTAGCGGTCACTTCGAACTTAATTTCAACAAGAAAAACTGGAATATTTTGCAGACCGTAAAAAAGCATTATCTACTTTCCTCCTATTAAACGTCGCTAGCGTATATCTGATCTTAATCAATCGTATATAAATCATTCTTGTTGACCAACATGTATCAAGTACATCATAGATTTCCTGATATTTTGTTCTCCTTTCTATTGGTCTGTAAGAGAGGAAGGGGTCCGTAAGGGAAGCGGAAGAGTGAACAAAATCTCACTCTCCAAAATTCAATCAAATATTTTGTATGTGAGCTTTTTAAAAACAAATCCAAACCTGTTTTACCTCTGGAATCACTCTTTGATAGTTAAAGCTGGGTCACAATAAGATCATCCTATCAGAATGATATATATATCGATTTAGAGAGTCGTCATACCCGCTTAATGTAGGATCAATTTGGTAAAGTCATACTGACCTTTTACTCAACAACACAATGTGTCGATCACCTGAATGTTTGTTTACTCGAATTTAAAGAATAAAAAGAAACGTAAGCTTAAAAGTACCATTAACAACTGCGAGATGACCAATTCATTATCCAATCAAATTCGTTACTTCTAGTGCATCCAACAAATTCATATTAAAGTGGAATGTGACATTTGAACACGTTATATTTTCATGCAAATCACATTGATCGTTCTTCGAATTCCAACGAAGACATTTTAAACATGAAAGTTATGCCAACTGATTCGATTCCCAACATTCAAACGATTTTCCTTGCTCACAGAAGGGTGTGTGTATAGATGACGAGAAAACACACCCACATCTCACTCGCGAGTGATAATTTTCGTTTGAGCTCACATTTTGCTCATAGGTAGAACTCATAGTACAGATGAAAATCCTGAAAAGGTTCGTGCCATTAAGCTTTTCTTCTCGAATAATGGTTATTTTAATGAACTTTCAGCCTATTGTAGGATATTACGAGAAAAATCGCAACAAGGAGTTTCTCTTTGAAATTCACTTCAGCAAATAGCTCTTGTAGCTCTTATAATATCCTAAAAGTTATAGCTCAAACCGATATTTCCTTTCTGAGATAATACGTTTGCAAAAAAATGTTACTTTCACACAAAAGTTCCAAAAATAGTCGAGTCTTTATGTACAAAACATATGAAGAAGAAGTTATCCGTTTGAGCTGAAATTATGATATTCTGCAATAAGCTAGAAGTTCATTAAAATGATTGTAACTCGAGAAGAAAGATCTAATGGCATGAACCTTTTCAAGATTTTCATCTATACTCTGGGTCCTACCTATGAGAAAAATATGAGCTCAAACAGAGTTTATCAATCAGATAGGTTCCCTTGTTAGGTTTATAATAGCTTGTAGATAAGACTAACATGAAATTTTCAATAATAATATACATAATAATTTCAAGTTGTTCACTGCAATTTTCATCTCTTAATAAACTAGATTTCATATATTACAAGTACATTAGTTATTAATAATGTAGCATAAAAAGGAACATAAGTTTATTATTATATGATATTTTCCAAATAAAAGATTCATCATGAGATCAATTAAAAGCAAAAACAAAAAACAATAATAGTTCAAATAAAAATAAAATCATATCAGTATTGAAAACAAAAACAAGGAAATGAAAAAATGAAGACAATATAAATAAAATTTATCACAATTATCATCACTGGCGCGAGTTTGAATAAAACAAAAAGCAAATTGAGATTGGAATGAACAGTTTCTATAGAATTTTTTCATAATTTTGCCATGGTTGTTGAGCAGGTGTAATATAAATTCTTGCTTTACCGTGACGACATTGAACAACACCACGATATGCTGTTCGAGGTACATTACTCTAACATAAAAATATATCATTTAAGAATATATTCATAATAAAAAATTGAATGAATTTGGCGCTATTAAAATTTCGTTATTTTTATTTTTTGTGTTGTGTGTACATTCTCGTCTTATGTCATTGTCATTTCGATTGAACAGTATCCCGTCTTCTTCAAAACATTCGATTATTTCATTAAGTAATTTCGATATAACATCATCTCATAACAATAATCAATTCGTTTCATATAATAATAATAAAATTTTTTACAATGAAAATCAATTCATTAATATGACATCATCCGATACAAAAGTCGATCAAACTATTGGTCAAGCTATTGAACATTTTGAACAAATTCTTACACAATGTGTTACACCATCAAGTACATCACTCATCAAAGATAATGATCAACAAGATAGTAAAAATGATATAAAATTAAAAATTGAAACTAAAAAACGTGATTGTGAAGAATTTTTAAATTCATTAAATAAAAAATCCAATTTTAAAATGAAACAACGCAATCAAAAAATTGATTGTCGCAAATGGTGTGAAGAACAAAATCGACGAATTACAAAATATTACAATTCAATCGATGATAATAATAGAAAATATCGTTCAAAAAATCAAAATATCTATGGATCAATATTCTATTGTCGTAAAGCTCTTTTACAAAAATCTGATGGAATCACTTATATTTGTATTAGAAAACGATTTAATTAAATATTTCTTTAAAGTTACCTTAAAATCGTTCATGATTTCAAGTGTATTTGCAATAGCAATGAATTCCTTTCGATTACTATAACGTAATTGTGCACATTTAGTATCATTAGTCATTTGATTTAAATCAGATAATGTTATCACAGGACAAGTATCAATACGAGCTTGAAATTCTTTATCATATCGATCCTAGGAAAAGGAGTTTTCTTTTTCCTACTTAACAATAAAAACATAATTATTTAATTTACTTTGATAAGATAACTAATATCAATAGTTTTCCAGTCAATAGGATCAGTATTTTTAATTATTTTTTTCAAATAATGATCATAAAATTGACCTCTAGAAAGCGATAGAATGAAAAATAAAACTAATTTAATGAATATACATACCCACTAACACCTTTTTTACCTTCCGGTGATATACCTGTGCGCGCAACTTCCGGTCGAATGCATGCACGATCACGACGTTGTTCTGGTTTTCTCATCCAATCGTCCCAAAAACTATTTATTATCGATAAAAGAATCAAATCGTTTAATCTCTTATTAAAGAAGGAGAACGCAAGAGAGAAGTCAAATCGGCATACTACTATTTTCCTTGACCAAATACATTGAATCATATATCAATAGAAAGATTATCTTGAGACTAACATTTTGAAATTAACTTCATGAGGTTTCAGTTGAATGTTGACACCTAAAAGCTATTCATAAAGTAACGCATTTTCGGTCATTATTTTAATAATTTACTCTTTTACGATAGATTCCATTTCAGAAGAAACAGAGAAGACAAATATACTGAAATTATGAGTTTTATACTTCTTTAATGATGCTCCAATCTCATAAAGAGCGTTCGATTAGTTCTGGACCTCGATGAAAATTAGTTTAGATGTAAAAAAAGAGTGATCCCTATTCATCTATATCTATATGCACTTCGTGCACTTATGGCATTTTTTTTAAATGGCATACTATCTAATGAGATGATATCTTTTAATAATAGTGATATAAACTGAAGAAACGCGATAATTAGAGTTTGGGCATAGACGATAGCCACATCCACACAATAGGCACTACCTATCGCTTTAAATAATTGTGCTACATTCCATGCAATGAATTCATAATTCATTAAAACTTCTGAAAAAAAAATACTAGTCGATTTTGTGGATTATAATCATCACATGTTTTTCTGTTTATATTACTATTATTAAAAGACATAATGTCATTGGATAATGTATTATTTTAAAATATCATCCTAAGCGCACGAAGATCATATAGATATAGTTGGGTAGGAACCACTCTTTGTTTACCTATGAACTAATTTTTATTAAGCCTCAGAACTTGTGGGACACTATATATAAATCACCAATTGTTTGTTTAATTTAACGATACATAAATTCCATGTTCTGGTAGACACTATTAACATATTTACTGTATTTATCAGTGACCTTTATTTTTGAACAAATATTATAATTTAACACAATTCAAATGGCTAAAGCTCTGATATTGCTCATTTGAAAGCACTTTTAAAAAGTTTAAAAAAAATTAATCACTTGCAAAATTTCTCAGTGCACTCTTCTTCAGGCGCATTTTTTCGTCTATTAATCAATGTTTAGAAGATTATGATCAAAAAAGTTTAATTTGAGTCAAAACTAATATGATATTCCGAACAAGTTAACAAAATTAGTTGATCTATGTGTGATTTAAAGAATTTCTGGAATTTTTTTTCGACGAAAAATTCACCCTGAACTCCCGAACTTCTCAAGGACTAGTTTAAAAATGAACTCCTTGAAAATACTACTTTTATTTTCAAGATATCTGCCACTTTGTCATCTGATATGTTTAAATAGCTTTTCCGAGTATATTTATTATGTGCAAATGGTGTTCAGAAATTCTATATACTACATATAGACCAACTCAGTTTTTTATGCCGATTCCGACTATCGTAATAGTTATGGCTCAAATTGAACTTTTCCTGGTCGAAATCTTCCAAGTATTGATAAACAAGCCACAAAAATGCTCATAGAGAAGATTTTGCTAAAGAATTTGTTAAGTAATCAGATTTTCTTGACTTTGAAAAATATAGGATTTTTTTTAGCTATTCCAAAGGCCTATCAAATGAGCAATATTAGAGTTTCGGTCATTTTCAATTCTTAAATTAAAATATTTGTAGAAAGATACGAGTCGATGATAAATACAGTAAATATGCTAATAGTATCTACCAGTACATTGGATCTATATCCCGTTAAATTAAACAATTAATTGATGATTTATATATGGAATTGAAGCAACCACCAAAGAGCTATGAAATGTATGATTCCAATAATATTTTGTCTTGACTACTTATTCTCAAATTGAAGTCACATTGATAGGATAGATTATTAGAATAATAACGAAAAATGAGTTATTTTGTTGATAGCTTTTAGATTTCAAAATCCAACCAAAACTTCATGAAAGTGATACGAAAATATTGATCTCATTGGTATACTATTCAATGAATTTGACCAAGAAAAATACTAGTGAGCAGATTTAACCTCTTAAGCGTTCAGATCTTTTCAACGAACGTTTTCGGCCATTGATCTTTTATTTCATTCCATACTGTCTTTGTTAACAACCAACCAAGACCAGGAAAAAAATCACTACGATGAAGAAGATCTTTTAAGAAAAATAACAATAAAAAAAGTTCTCTGTGTCAGATGAAAGAATTTTTTTTTCTCACTTGCTTGACGATCAATTTTTTTATCAATACCATTGTCATTCCATGCTGATATACACCAAAGAGTTTTATCATATTTCATTAATGGATAAAGTGCTTGAAAATAATCGAGAAAATCAGGTGAAACTTCCAGATCATCTATCGAAGAAAAAAAACCAAACGATCAAGAATTATTTGAAATTAATTTTCCTAAACCTTCAGTAATAATTATAGCTTCATAATTAAGTACATTAAGAACATGATTAAGTGCATAACCATAATGACGTGCTATTCTATAATATCCAGATAACTGATGCTGGTTTGGAGGAACATCAAGAGGACCAAGATCTGGTAACTAAATAGAAATTAATCATTATCTTTCCTTGGAGTTTGTCTTTGATATAGCAAAGAAAAATGCATACTTTAATAATTGTTTTAATTTTATCACTGAAATTTTTAGCAACTTCAATCGTTGGACTATTTTGACAATCTAAGCTGATTATTATTGGATTTAGTTCAGTATTTTTTCGAATTCTAAATAAATAAAATTGATTATTTCCTTGAGAAATATCTTCTTTTCTACATACTTAAGCAGAGCTTCAATATGAATTTGAAGAGCACGTGGCCGATTACAAGCAAAAACAACAATCGGTAATAAAACATCTATTTTCTATATTGAGAAAAGAAAACGAAAACGAAAATTCTTACATCATAGAAAAAAAAATTACCGATAATAGAGACACGGACACTGGTGGAATAATACTTGATCGTATTTTTCGAATAATTCGTGTATTAATTGGTAATTCCTAAAGAAAATCTATCAATACAAAAACTAATTGAAATAAAGTTTAATAACAAACCAGTTCATGTTTATTTGGTGATGTATGAAAACCTTTAATACTTAATAATAATACGATATTGATAAGAAAGAAAACACCGGTAGTAATAATAATTTTTTTAATAATTTTTGATCGCATATTTGCTTGTCTTCCATTATCGTCGATATTTCATTATCTACAATAATTAGTTTTTTTTCGTATTGTATTTACATAAAATCTTTATTGTTTGTTTTTTCATTATTTATTAATTCTTTCTTTTCTTCGATACTCGAATGTCAAAGTAAAAAGAATGTAAATTTCATTTCGTGAGACGCTACTCAAAAAGAGTGTTGAAATATAAAAGTAGAAATTTGCACTCAGCCAGTCCAGACGTAACCATGGGAACTCATAGACCATGAGAGACATCTTAGCAACACTTCCTCCGCGTCATGTGTCACCAGCATTGTTTATATACAATAACGGGTCGTTTATTAAAAGTGTCTCATAACAATATATGAACTGTTTCTTTATTGCATTTCTGAAGTATGTAGTAAAAGCATAGTGAAATGTGTCTCAAAATAGATCGAATAGAAAAGTCTTCATGTGATTAGTACGAGCAGTTACATTGTGTTTCAGATTTTAATTTTGCATAGATTGCGGTAACAACATTTATTGTGAAAAATTCACTCAATTATCTGCATGCTTTGATAGTTTTTTAATAATAGAAAGACAAAAATAAAAAAAGAAATTCAATCCAGAGGCAAACAATGCCATGTTGTTGCTGGTTTTTTTTTTATTAACCAATCAAAACAAAACAACAAAACAACAAAACAAGAGAACAATTAAACATTAACACGAACTTTTTTTTTACTTCTTCCACCACTTTTTATTTTTCGTTCTTCACTATCATCAACTAATGTTGGGATATCATCATCATTGTCATCTTCTTTTATAGCTTGTTTAACAGCTGCTAAAAGACGTTTTCGTTTTTCGGCTTTTGGTGCTGGTTTACTAGCATAATTTTGTTCAATATGTTTTGGTTTTTCATTTTTCTTGGCAAGTTTAGTATCAGCAACACGTTTAACAAATGCAGTATCAACTAAAGGTTTATTATCAGTATTAAAAACTGGTAAATCTTCATCTTTTTTAGTTTTCTTTTCTTTTTTTGATTTAGTTCTTGTTGAACGTTGTTGTTGTTGTTGTATACCTTGTATCCAAGTTTTTTGTAAACGCTTTGTTAATTTTTTCTTTTTAATATTATTACTTAATTTAGTTCTTTTTGTTAAATGTATATTTCCATTCGATTCTACAATAACATTAAGATTGTTTTCCAATGTTGATAATTCACCTATTTGTGTTAACTCCTCATGATTATTTAATGGAAGATTTAATTTTTTAACATCATTTTTATCATGTGTACTATAATAAATTGGTAATGATTGTAAATTATTTCCATATAAATAAGCATGATCAATATTTAACCAACCACCAGGTAATTCTTTGCCAATAGTTTGACAAATTGTTTTAAGATTTTCAATTCCATGATCAATAGATTGTTTAACAGTTGTAAATTGCATAGAAAAAAGTGGTCCTGTACCAGCCATACGACCATATATTGATGAACATAATGATAATAAACGTTGTTTAAAATCTTTATTAAAAACATTGATACCTAATGGCATTTTTCCATGATAACGAAAATGTTTGCCAAGTAATTGACCACGCATTAATGATGTCATTATGCGTCGATCAGCAAGAAAAAGATCATAACGTGAACATAATTTTCTTTTAGCTTCATATGGAACTAATTCCTAAAATAAAACATATAATATATTTATTTACTTTGTAAAGATCTTGCTGGATGTAGTGATAAGTTTTCATCGTTGCTTCCTTCATACTTATCAACTATCCCTTTTCTTAGATCTAGGTTATTTCTTAGCTATATGATATTTCCGTATGTTCAACTGCATTCTTTGTGTTTCACACATAACATCTTTCAGAATAACAGGAACTCATTGACGACTGGCAAGATAATCTCCGTAAAATAGCCTATTTTGCTAAATGCAAGGATCGGTATATTAACAATACTAAACAGTCCAATTAAAATTTTTTTATATATCAATAGCCAGCATAACACCTCTGATGAATAGATATAAATACCTTCTTTATCAATAGAAAAACTTTTTTTTTCGGCCTTCAGACTCCTGGAGAGGGGAGTAAAGATATAGGGCTGGAGAAAGATGGCCTATTATTTTAATTACTTGTTCATTTGAAAAAAAAAATTTTCCATTCTCTCGGATTCCCTCCAAATATTTGGAGACCAAAAAATCTTCTTTCCTGTTATAAAGCATTTATTTATATTTATTCATTAGATATGCTATGCTGATTATTGATACATATAAGTTTTTAATCGAGTTGTTAAATGATGTTAATATACAAACTCTTGTATGTAAGAATATAGGCTATTCTAAAAGAGAAAGGAAACAATCTTGAAAATTAACAATAAGTTCCTGCTGTTTCAAAAGATGTTATGTTTGAAACATTATAGAGCACGATAGTGTGGAGTTTTTGAGAAAGTTTTACGTCGGTCAAAACTACATGAATGATATCCTAGTTCACGATAGGTCACCAAATCCAGCAAGGTTCTTTTCATTTGTTTCTTTTCTCGTTTTGCTTTACTTGATTAAGTTGTTTAAGTGTCATGATTTCAATATTAAATGGAAGTTTAAATTGATCAATCATTGACTTATAGCGACGTACTGTTGATTCATATTCTCGACCATTAATGTCATCGTCACGTACAAAAAGACATACATCACGTGTATCTTGTTGAGTAAGTGGATGAGGTAATTGAGATGAAAGACGAAGATAAGTACATCGAGGTATTTTATGTACGTGAAGATAAAGACTTATTGGCGTTGATTCATCTAATAATTGTTTATGACCTTGTTGAGCATTATTAATAATTTTTTTAAGAGCTATTAATGCTTTTCCACATACATTAAAATCGAATGGACATTCAGAAGAATTTTTTTCTTCAGTTGAACTCTCCGTTTTTGTTTCAATAGATTTTGTTTTCATCTTAAAATATACCTAAATAAATATTAGATAAATATATATATATAAATGTTTGGATCGTTTATGTAGAAATAATTTGAATGAATGAATGAAATAAAACGAAGAATTCAAAAGGTTGATCAATATGACCAATGTAGAGAAACTTTTGTTGGCCTTCACATAAAGAAAAAGAAAATATTGATTGATAGAAAGCGACATCTACTTTTCATACTGATATTTTAGAGTTCTTCGACAAAGGATTGCCACTTCCTCAAGTCAAAAAAAGCGAAAAAAGTATCGGACAGCTATTTTTGTCGATTTTTCTCATCTATATGGATTTAAGTAACATGTTGCTTCTTTCCATAACGCTTCTGTATACTCGATATTCTAAAACATAAGAAATAATGCATAAAAAAAAATGGATGCTTTATTAATCGCATCATTTTTATGAATGTGTAGTCACGTTTATTTCAATGAATTTGTATTTTTCCTACGTTGGCATCACTTGCTGGAATAAAACATCATATAAGCCAAAATAGATTTCAGACGACAGCTACGATAGCTTACTTAATATTAACGGGTTTTATTATCTTAAATTTTTGAATAAACAAACAAATCAAAGTTTCTCGTATGAAAAAGCAAAATAGGTGACAATCCTGTTTAGAGTATATATTTATTCAATATGAAACATCATTTACCTAGGACACTAGAAAAGTTTTTTCAGCCAATTCAACTAAACATTATAATTTGACTGTAAGCATTCTACTATAATGCTTAGACATATGTAGAATTATGTACAAAATTTGAGAGTTTTAGGTCTTGAGCATCGTTATAATTCTTCATTTCTTTCAAATTTGTCTGTCATACACTATTTTCTATATGAATTTTGAACTGTCTCAACAACAATTTCGAACAACAATTGTATATAACGGGAGAATTGCGTTGACATACCATAAAAGTCATGTTCGTTTAACGTAGACATAAAGAATCAAGTGCTCTCAGATCGTAGTTTCCAATTGGTTTCATCAATTATAACACAGCAATTTTAGTATTAAAGATAGTGCCCGTTTAGATGGTTCTTCAATTGCTGTCAGCAAAGAAACGAATGATGCAACATATGAACAGATAGAAAACATCTTGGAGATTATTGTGCTAACGGTAAATTCAATAATTTATAACCATTTAAAGTTGCGCAAAATTTGTCTGCGATGGACACCATTTCTGTCATGTATTCGACATTACTGCTGATGATAAATCATATTTCTATCATTGTAATCCGGCACAAAAAAGAACAGTCAAAAGTTTGATGTCAGAAAGCAATTCAGATCCAACCAAAGTTTATCGAAAAACAAAAAGTACAGGCAAATAAATGGTAGCTAGTTTCTTTATGAACTCTGGCTTAATCAAGTCTATACTATTAGAATCCGGTAAGACAATAAATGCAAGTTGGTTCGTCAACAGTTGCGTAGCCCAAGTTTTCACAACTGTATTAGAATGAAAGCAAACGACTGGTCTTAGATATCTCATTTTCCATGATGATAACAGGAAGTCATATAGAGCATGAATTACTAGCGAATTTTTGACTGAAAATCATGTAGAACCATCCACCAATCCAAGTTTTTCTCCAGATCTAAGTACCTGCAACTTCTGCTTGTTTCCAACACTAAAAAAATCAACTACGCAGGATTCGGTTCAACATGACGACAACACAATGCTGAATATCTTAGAACAAGCCATTGGCAGTCTCCTGAAAGACAATTTCAAAAACTGCATTTGTTGATCGTTTTACTCGAATACACAAATGCATTGATGTTGAAAGTACTGTAAATATTTGTTTCAAGAGCTGATGAAAAAAAACTTCTCTTGTACCGCATCTGTCACTCTTAAGTTTTCTTATTATCTTTTTCAGTTTATCGAGTATTGTCGCACGATTTTCTTAAAATACGTTTTAATCGATTAACTAAAAAACGTATGTGAGTGATTGTCAGGAAGTAATGTGTTTGTTATTACAATAACATAAATTTTAATTCGACATTGGAACATCTCCACAACTGTTGGATAATATTAGACATTGTGTGTTGACATTTGAGTGATGGCTTTTGAGACTAACAGTTTAGCATAGGTTTGAATCGATAAACTTCGAAAATCAAAATCTGATATTTTTATTTCTTAGAAATCCAATTTTCTTCCTATGTTATAACGAATTAACGTCAGAAATTCTTAATACAATATCTTAACTTACCATTGCTAACTTTAATTATTATCATTACAATTATTTTCTATGAATCTCATGATATTTTTATAGGACAACACATGAAGAAAAAAAATCATACACTAAAATACTACCTCTTCCCATGATGAAGAAAATACAAAATCTATACACACTCGAAAACAACTGTATTTTGGAATATTATATAGCTTGGTTTAACGATTGTTGTTCTCCGTATCGTATACAGAGAAATATGACCGTGTACAGCGAGATACTAAGTAAAGCGGAAGTCATAAACAGACTCCGTAAATGATCGTATTTCTTCATATATGATATGGAGAAACACGATCGTAATACTGAGCTATGTAGTATGTCAATATATGACGAGTTACAGTCATTTACGAGCTGGCTTTTTCGACCTAGATCTGATTCGAGATCATATGAAAAGTGTAACATAGATCTACGACATCAAATATTAGAATACGAATGCAACAAACTAAATTCATACTATACTTTGAGTCTCATTGGCACTTACTGATAGCAAATATATAGAATCCAATGATTTCTTACAGTTGAATACAATAAATTTGTATTCACAAAAAAATGACATTCTGAAGTGTTACTCTATAGTTTGAATAAACTTTTTTTGTCTTATAAAATAAGATTTGATTTATTGTTTATTGAAAAAAAAAATAAAACTTCATATTCCACTTGAAATTTGAGTAATTATGACAATGAATATAGTCATCGTAAGAAAAGAACACAATCAAATTTCAACTTTTCTATATTTCAATAATCAAATCGATTAAACAGCAATCGTTGCCACCTGCCAATTGATTCACAGTTCAACAATGATTGTTGTTGTTTGACTGATAGTGATAGTCAAATGATCATATTCACTTTCTCTTTTGTCAGTTACATCTCTATCTATTTATCTCAAATTGATTGTTTATAAAATGAGCTTAACAGATATATTAGTTTCAATCTCATGAGAACTATCATCATCATTATTGATTTAAAAAACAAATGAAGAAAGAAATTATTCTCTATTAATTTATAGATAAGACAAATGATGTACTTAGTTTAATAATAGTGATAGAATTTAATTATAGTTAAATAACACGTATGTATAATACACATGCTTTCGATCATGCTGTGTAATTGATGAGAATGATCGGATAAATCATTAAAAAATATCGATGTCTACATATATATCTTCATGTATTTGATTACGTCTCTATATATTCAATCCTCTGTCTATGTCTGCAATGTTGATGAGGGACAGAGAACATATACATATATACACAAGTGTTGTTGTTGTTATTATATGTACTATATATAATAAAACCTCGATAATGAAGCAATTATGGTCAATTCTTTTTTTTCTGACTTTTGCTCTTTTTTCTTTCCATCTCATACAGATAATTCGTGTATTAATCGGACAGACACGATAGTTAAGATTTCTTATTCTTTTTTTTTTCTTCTCTTAGTTTCTTATATTCCCAATCCGTATCCGATTGGCCTTATCCTTGCCGTATATATATGTTATCAGAAACACGCACTTCCATACAGGGTGGAGAAGAAAGACGAATGATATCTAGCAGTGTATCATGCAAAGCAAAGCTAATGTCGATCATCACACATATATTCCACAAACGTTTTCTTTTTTTCCCTCTGTTACAGAAAGACAGGAGAGATAATACTGTCAAAAGAACAAATTCGATTACTTGATTGCTAGTTGTATACTAGTCAATATTATCGCAAGAGAATGGCATTTAACTTATGTGTATAATACCAACAAGGTGCTATTCGATATACTCTTGAATGTTAATCGGTGTCGCCGCTGTTTTCACAAATTCTTGTCAAACATGACACTTGTGATCAGTTGGTTTTTTTTTTTTGTTTGTTTCTATTTCTTTATATTCGTGTCATTATACGACCAATGAATTAACTGTATAGCAAAAGAAAAAAGAAAAATTGCAGAAGAACAAAAAAATTGAAAACAAAAAAGACAACAGAAAAAGAAAAACGTACAGACGTAAACAAAATGACGACAAATCGTATATATATATATTTATATCAGTTTTATTCCATATAAATAGGTCAACTAAATTTTCGAGCATTAGCATAAAGTGAGGCAGCATAAAGTGGTGATATAAGTGGATAAGGATTTGATGTTGAAGAATTGGTTGACGACGAACTACCGACTTGTTGTTGTTGTGAATTATAAAATGAAGCAGCACAAGCAACATAAGCTGCCGCTGCAGCTGAATGCATTCCTACAGATGATGAACCAACTGTTGTTGGTATTGTTGGTGAATTAACATCAAGACCAGGATTTTGTTTTTTCCATTTTGTTCGCCGATTTTGAAACCTTTTTTTTAATTTAATCAAAAGAGATAATTTTTTTTTTGTAAAATAGAAAAATCATACCAAATTTTAACTTGTGTTTCTGTTAATGATAATGATAAAGCAAGATTAAGTCGTTCGCAAACTGATAAATACCTTGTTTGTTTAAATTTATTTTCTAATGCAACCAATTGTTCATATGTAAATGCTGTTCGTGCTCGACGTGGTTTTGATGGTTTATCAGCTGTTGATGAACTTGTTGATGATGATTTTGATTTGTCACCATCACTAATTGATGCATTTAAATCATCATCATGTATTTTATCACCAGCTTCTGATAAACATCCATCTATAAAAAACAAAAAGATTTTAAGAAATTAATATTTTGAGAAATAAAACGAAAGCATTAACTTAACTTACCAGATACATCACAATCACTTATTGAACCATGATGCTCATCATCATAATCATCATCATTATCTGAATGTGAATAGACGGATTTATGATTTGTTGAATCATTTTTTTGTTCAAGAATTATTTTTGTATAATCATTTAATCGATGAGCTTTAGGTTTTTTAATTAAATGATTAAGACGAGTATTATTATTACTGTCAACGGTTGATGAAGGTTTAGCAAGAATATCACAGATGTTAAATGTACGTCGAATAGATGATGATGATGAAGAATTATTACATGATGATTTTATTGGTGAAATATGTGATGAATTTGTTGATATAGGTGACGAATTAATATTGCTGGGTGAAAGTATACGATTGGTTAATGAACCAAGTTTAGTTAAAGTTATTTGTGTTGTTGATGGAGATGATGTTGGTGAAGGTGACGATGGCGATAGATTTGTTTTCAATTTGTCGTCATGGCCAATTGAAGGCACAGTCATTTCTAATTTGTCATCACTCATCAGAAAAGATTTCTGATCTGGAAAAGGAGATATATGTATATATTTTCCTTTTCGAAGAAGATACTACTCTCGTATTGTTCTATTGATTATCAAATGTCTTTACTACAATAAAATATCTAATACTTTTTTTTTTATCTTCAACGATCACGCACTCTCGATGATTGCTGTTAATGACTGTGTGTGCATGGATTTTTCTCTTTTTTCCCTCATGTAAATACGATACATACATATATATATATAAAGAGAGTGAATGAGACCGAACAAGAGAAATAAAGAGAGAGAGAGAAAATCTCAACACCCATCAACGAAGAGACTCATCGGAGCGATTATACATCTATACACTAGCAAATTATGATTATGATACCCGTGTGTGTGTGTGTAAGCGAGAGTACCAAAAAAACGAACGAACGAGTAAGCGAGAGAGTCCTTTTTTCCCATTCGCCGAAACATATGCACTAATAGCAGCAATTCTCTCGGCAATTTAGCAGACCATTTATATGCGTCTCGAATAGAGAGAAAGAGAAAAATACTACGAAGAAAAAGAAAAAAAAGAAATTGATTGAGCTCGTAGATGCCATACATATGTGAATGTTAAACTCGCAACGGTGTATATATGTCAATAAAAAAAAGACACAGAGAAAGAAAGAGAAGGAATGACGAATGCGTTCGATCGTTAAATTAATTGAGTGCCAATGAGAGAAGAATAACAGCACCACTATCCAACCATTGAAAAAACAGACGTTTTTAATTTTTCATTTGTTACAAATAAAAAAACAAAACAAAAAAGTGTATCGTTTCTTTCTCATTTCTTGGAAAAAGAAACATGTCAATTAACCTTTCACATGACTATTTGAAAGATTATTATCTCATTTTATTTACAAATCACTTTCATAATCTTGACAAGTTTTTTCTTTTCTATTTTTACCACTTATATTTTTTATTTTCGAACAGTAATAGCCTTGTCTTCGCTGACAGTTTTTTTCTTTTTGTGTTAAATATAAATTATTTAACATAATCATTCTTTAATAAATATGAAGATTAATTTAATTATGAATCATTGCAAAAAATACTCTAATTCACATATCAATCTAAGTTTCAAGATGATAATATTCAGGATTGGCCCGAGGCAGCCAACATTGGAGAAGTGTCGCGATTTTTTTTTCTAAAGAGAATATACGCAAAGTTTCCTTCATTAAGGGTTATGTCACAACCCTGGATCGGGTCATGCCTAATGACATTCACGTAAAATCAGTGTTTCAATCATATTCTTTGTTAGAACACATTATTGATTTCTTTTTTTATATTGTTAATGAAAAACTCATTATCAATATTGATTATCACATATATTTTTTTAAAGAAAGTTATTGTATCTATTGAAAAATATAATGTCTTTGAAAATTGATATGAACTATTTTCAAGAATGTCTATAAATAGTGTGTCCAAAGAACTATTTCGACACATTAACAGGAACAACATAAGTATGCTAAAAAAGGATAAAGATGAAAAGAAATAACGACGAAGAAAAGTAGAGACAACAAATCATTGTCATCATCAAACCAACTAACTAACCAATCGAAGATTTATCTCATCTATCAAAACTACGACTAACATTTGATAACATTGCCAAAAATGACATGTAGAGATAGATATTCTTATTGCATCATGACTTTTTTTTTCCTTTTCGAGATGGATACGCGTCCACGTGGAAAAAGAATAGGTGATTAGCATGAGAATCAATTGAATGTATAAGCAAGCAAGCATACACACACACACATGCAGCTCATCATCGTTAGTCTTCAAAATAGCTTGTTGACTGATTTAATCGATTAATCTCACCAACATTATATATGTACGCATGATGACGCAAATGTTTTTTGTACACACATATATCTAAAACGGAACATTTTCGTTTGTTTAAGTGGAAATGAAAAAAAAAATGAGGCACGTGATGTGTATCTTTTCCATTCTTTTTTTGCTTTCAATTAATATGCTGATTGAGGCAATGAATAAAAATTTAGAAATCAATTTTTAAAATAACACTTGACTATGTTATGTGCTCTTTCTTTTATTTTCTTTTGTTCGATTAAACTCGAGTTTGTCTCATATATATATATATTATAAAGAAGTTGACAAGTATACAATAGAAACTCGTCGAAAAAACAAATACTAACACTCAATTATATGAGAAGAATATTTCAAAAATCATTTTCTTACGTTGTTGTACGAGTCTATATAAAAAAATCTCATTACGCATCGTAAAAGTAAAAGAATTCATGTCAATTTTGTACGTCATCTATATTCACATTAAAAATTGACAATCATTTGTTGACATGCTTACGGTTATTAGTTTAGTAGACGAATACATATAAAGAAGAAACAAAGTGAATTGATTTTCACACCATCCGATCAGAGAAATGAAGCCTTGTTTTTTTCCTTTTACTTGTTACTGTACTTAAATACATAAAGCACAAGAAAGATCAAATCTTGTTTGACAACAATTTTAATTTTTAATCGATTATTAGAATAATGGAAAAAAAAAGAGTAAAAGGACTTCTAGACATTTTTTTTTCTGCGTCTCGTCTTTGTCATAAATTTATATGCGGAAATAATTGACTGTCCATGTTTTCATATTCAAGTGAAGATTATTTTTCTTTTCATAAGGGACTCTTGTCTATTGATAATGACTTTTTTTCCTGTCTATTCTATTCAACGGTAGTTCTATCTTCATCGTCTTGTCTAGTTGTCCTGAGGGAAAATAGGTAGGCGAACTCAAATGTGCGCGTGTGCATATCGATGTCAATCTGGCTACCAATGGTATAATTGATTAATCATTCCGGTTATTAGGCTTCTTCGTCATCTCACTATCCTTATTGATGAAACCTACTTTTGAAATACGACTCTCATATATATATATACATACATACACACAATAATTTTGACTTTGATTGATTGAATAAAAAAGAGTATGAGTAGCAATTCTAAATCTCATTTACATGGATCATGCCCATGCCGCTTACTGACGCCTTTATATAAAACGATTCTTATCGAGTAAAGTCGGCAGCAGTTAAGAGGGCGCGTGTGCTCGATATAGGGAACAGATTTGTGTCAATTGCCCGTCGCGCACATATATATAAAAGCCGCATATATATATATATATACATTGATTCATTCATTTCGTTTGAACATTTTCAATCGATTATTTCCATCCATATGTAAATATTGACTCTTTCGATTTCTCTGCACTTGCTGATGATGATTCTTCTCTCGTCAATCGTATCATGTTTCTTAATGATCACCAGCAGCACGCGCTTCTTTCATTCAATTAGGACAAACCAGTATGTGTTCTTTTGTCGTTGATAAGTTTGAAACTTGTCGGAAGAAAAAGAGAGAGAGAGAGAGAGAGAGGGAGAGAGAAAGAGGGAGAGAGTGAGTGAATAAGAACGGCACTTGCTCTTATCGCTATATATATATATTCTCACCGCCTGCTCATGATTTGCTACATATGTGCTGTTGTATTTCTCTCATTTTTTTTAATGAGAACAACGAGAACGCGTCGAAGATCAATATTATTCTCCCTCTGTATGTGTCTGCCTATGATCTCTTGTTCATTGCTAAAATATTCTGTTGATTTGTCGCACATTTGATTGAATTTAGATCTTGTTATGTTTGAAAAAGAAGAAACAAAAAAAGAAACTTGATTAAAATATTCTAAATGTATCAAAGTCATTATTTAATAGGAATTGAATTGATATTCAATAACCTTATTTATTCATTTAGGATAAAATATAATTACAAATTCAATCATCTTTTTTTTTTCTTGTCTTTTCCTCGTAATTATCACGCACATAAAAACAGGTGAAAGAGATTTTCTTTTTCTTTCCTTATGGCTATTTATTGTCTTACAATGATGATACATTAATACTACTAATCATTAATATTTTGTTTTATGTATCAAGAAAATAAATCAACAAAAAACAAAACAAAACAAAAGACGGCCTTCTTGATGAATATATCTCTTCATTTCCTTCTCTATCATCAAATCCTTTTGTAAATTATTCACACCTTTTAAATTCTCTTATCTTAAAAGAAAAAAAAACTAACAAATGAATAGATCCTTACGTACACAGTTTGATTGGATGCCTTCAAGCCATGGCATATGATCTAAATTCAATGTGACATTGTCAATCTGTTATCCATTATTTCTAATTGGCAAGTGCATGTGTATAGAGAATACATTTATTCACTTGTTCGATAGTTTTCCGAATAGAAAATATTTCTCTCTTGTGCGGTTTTTTTTTTCTATTGGTTAGAAAACTAACAACAGTACCACTCAAGTGCACTATGTAATAATGGTTATTGATAGGCAGACATTAGTGCAAATTGTTCTATTATTCGACATCGATCATAACGATGACGACAACGTACACACATGTGTGTCTCTTAAGAGGAAAATGTTAACTTATCCATGATAGGTTTTTTTTTTCTTTTTCCTCTTGATATCCAACTAACAATATGAATAAGATCGATGGTGTGTAAGAGTACGAAGTTAGAAGAAATCATACAACCTTTTTATGTCAGTAGAATCAAAATGAGATACTCATTCATGTTCTCGCTTTATGCGACGACGGAAGTCAATATATCATCGTTATATATTCTTTGGAATAGATATTTACTTGTCGAACAATATATATAGATGTATATATCGATATCTATGGAATCTTAATGACGACAAGTGTTTTGTTGATTAATAATTCTTATAAATGAGAATATTTTTCTTTTCTCTTGAGATAAAAGAAATAATGAAGAAAAGTGTATAAAATGACTTCAAAAGTTTTTTATTCAATGATTCAAATATAATGTTTCTTGATGAAAATATCTAATTTGATTGTTTCTTTTTTTCTAATTGAAAATTTTTATTAGCTATTTTCAATGAAAACTTGATTAATATACTAAGTGTAACAAAAATTTTGCGACATTTAAAATAAGAATCAATTTATTTC